CATATTCCCAAACTCTCTTACCCCTACTAATGAAAAAAATGTGTGTTTGTCTCATCAAACTGCTATTTTCTTTTGCCGGATATTCTTTTCAAACTTGATGAGTTGATAGAATAAAAGTTTTTTTGTTATCCAAAATTAGAAGACATACATTTATTTGAATGAATTCAAGATATAGAGATAAAAGGTTAGCGGCAGCAATTAGTGAAAAGTTGATGATTTACAAACAAACAAATAAGCATAAGTAATTCAACTAAAAGTTGGTAATCACTCAAATTAAGATTGGTATTTTAATATAAAAGATGAAAAATTTAAAAACTCAAAAAAAATTACGCAAATAAAACTTAGTCAGTTACTACGATTGACCCAAAAAAGTTACTACTAAAGTCGATAATTTACAGGCGGCTAAATAAAAGTTGGTAAGTCATCAAAATAAATGGTGGTAACATCAAATTTGTCGGTAAATTAATTGGATCAAAATTAGTAAGTCACTCAAATAAAGGTGAGTAATTTGATACTATATTTGGTAATTTGATATTATAGTTAGTATATTTAAAAATTTGATAGATTATGCATATAAACGTTAGTAAGTTATCAGAAAGGTTGGTAATTTACAAACAACAATATAGAACATTCATAAGTAAATCAAATAAAGACTAGTGAAGCAAAACTAGTTGCTTCCATCTCTTAGAGCATTCGCACAATCTTCAACATTCAACAAAACGTAGTCTGAATGATTGTAATTTTTTGTTTTTGGATCCAACGGTGAGAAGTGCCTCTTGGGACAAACCCATTCATATGTTGATTCACTTCATGCGAAAAATGAATGATATGAAAAACATATTCCTAAAAAAGATTGCTTGTATCGCTTACAAAAATAAATTAAAGAAAAATATTTTCATCGTTCACGAAAATATTTATAATGGGTGTTTCTACGGTTCCCAAGAAATATCGTGCCCTTACAATATTCCATCGTTGAATTAAAATGCGACAGACCTTAGCCATTCAATAATCGCAGTTTGAATGCTCGTCTTTTTTGCTTTTAAATTCAATGGTCAAAAGTCCACGGGGCACGATGCCTCCACGAAACGATGGACTCCGCCATTCATACAGTAACTAGTGTGTAAACCATGACTTCTGAACATCCCTCTAATTGCCGAGAAGCGGAGACCTTGAAGATATTTATCAACTCCTTCCCATTTGGCTTCAGATATTTGGAAGACTATACTTACTGGAGACGCAAGACTTCTTTCATAAAACGATTATCATCACCATTATCAAGAACACTTGTTGGAGATATTAGGCTCCAAACTTTGTGGAACCATGCAGCTAACAATGGAGTTGGAGAGATTGGAGCGCATCTTCCTTTTGTTGGCGATGTTACACGCCTTCAATTCCATCGATTGGTCGATGGCTCAAAACAGTCATCATCGTCCTCATCATATTCACATTGGAGCGATTCTTGATATGGAGTTACCAGTTGGGGAGATGGCCCAACAATGCATGACCATGGCCATCTCCGACTTGAATGCCTCGCCCTCGCACATTAACCATCACCGAAAGTTGATTCTGCATCCTAGAAATTCCATGGGACAGCCTCTCAAAGCTCTATCTTCAGGTGAGTTCTTGTCAATTTTCCGCCGCTGTCATTCTTTGCACACACCCGCACTCAAGCCACACAATGCGGGGAAAAAGGAAATTATAGTGTACGGCCAGTCTGCCACTAAAATAAAACCAATCACCGTGCTGAAAAGTATGATGAGGTTCACAATCACATACTAGTGTGTAAAAAGGCAACTAACGGTCTGTATGAGCTAGCGATATTTTCATTTTGTGACTCGGAGCTCAGCTAAACGAGAGAAGATCTAGTACTTGTTATTAGAATTGATCTGTTTATCGTCATTTGGAGCATCTGTGGAGCTTTTGGAGAATGAACGAGTTGACGCACTGATAGGCCCACAAACATCTGAAGAAGCCGAGCTTCTAGCCGAATTGGGAGATAGAGTGCCTATCATCTCCTTTTCTGCTAGTAGCCCTTTCTTGTCCAGAGATAAAAATCCAAACTTTATCCGAATGACAACCAATGATAACTCCCAGGTTGGAGCCATTGCTGCTCTAGTTCAAAAATTCGGGTGGAAAGAGTTGGTTATAATACATGAGGACAGTTCCTATGGAAATGGAATCATACCTGATCTTCTTCTCGCATTAGAAGAGGGCAATGCTCGCATAGCGCATCGAACTATCGTTCCGCCACAAGCCAGGGACATATACGTAGAAGCCCAACTGTATAAACTGATGGCTCTGTCTGCCAATATATTCATCGTCCACATGTCTGCTTCCCTCGCATCTCGGTTTTTCTTGAAGGTTAATGAGTTGGGAATGATGAGTACAGGCTATGGTTGGATTGTGACTAATGGGATAGTAAACGAGTTGCCTGTGATGGATCAGCCGGTTTTAGACTCGATGCAAGGAGTCATCGGAATTAGACCTTATATTCCACCTTCAGAACAGCTTCACAACTTCTCATTGAAGTGGAGGAACGACTTTTTCGCAAACCAGCATCAACAAATTCCTGAAGTAAATGTATATTGCTTATGGGCATATGATTCTGTCTGGGCTTTAGCCAAAGCAGCATATCAATTAGGTCCTAAAACTTCTATGCAGAAGAATAATCCTACAAATAAGCTTGCTCATCTAGCTGCCATTTCCTCAAGACCAACAGGATCTGATCTAGCCCGCACAATTCTACATGGCAAGTTCACGGGTTTAAGTGGGGAAATTCAACTTAAGAATGGACAGCTGCAACAACCACTAGCATTTGAAATAGTGAATGTTGTCGGAAGAGTCAAGAGAATCGGGTTTTGGACCCAATTGAATGGTATAATGCGAGGGCTAAATAGGTCTATTGATGCAACTCAATCTCCCTCTGTGAGAAAAATGAGCTCTATTCAATGGCCTGGATCATCCTTGGCTATACCAAAAAGTCGACGGATTGTGTCAAAGGCAGGGAAGAGATTGAGAATTGGAGTTCCAATTCCAGTGGGTTTTAAAGAATTGATGGGAGTGGAACTCGATCCCGAGACAAATGCGTCAACGGTAACAGGCTTTTGCGTAGACGTGTTCAAGGCTGCAATTGATATGTTGCCTTATGAAGTACAATTTGACTTCGTCCCATTTACCAATTCAAACAGAGTGGTGGCTGGAGGCTATTATGACAATCTAATATACCAAGTATACCTTCAGGTGATCTTGAATGAACCCAGTATACACTGAGGATTGTCTTTTTTCCAAGTGTGGGTAACCACAAAATAGCATGTTCTGCTTCCATGCAGGAGTAACACCAGATAAAAAGCACATCCAAGTACATAAACATGAGATTTTATTCATTAAGCAAAAGAGGTTAAAATTAATTGATAAAACTAGTAGTCCATCCATTCTTCCCTTTTCATGATATCTTTACATTTTATTACGTGGAAATAATTGCCAGGCGAGATGCAGGAGCGATATCAGACCAGGCAAGATGAATTTCAGTTTACATAGACGTGCGTGCAAAAAATTACTACTTCTTGGAGCCAAAATTCTTTCACATGATAACTCTTGGATAGTACTTCACATTATAGTAAGCATAGTCTGGATCATGGTTATCAATGTGTTCATTCCTGAAACAACTCGATTTTATACACACACACACACACACTCCGGGGGGAAAGGATGTTAACAAAAGAAATTGAGTGATGTGCCAAAGTGTATTTGCAAGTGTACTTGCTTGTATGCTTATATACATTGTTTTTAATATGTACTTACCAATTCTTTTGGGTCCTTGGGAATATCTACTGGCAATATGATGCTGCGGTGGGTGATATAACCATCACAGCAAATAGATCGTTGCTTGTGGACTTCACAATGCCTTTCACAGAAACTGGAGTAGGGATGATTGTGCCTGTTGATACATCGCGAAGCACAAACGTGTGGATATTTCTACAACCTCTCACGGTGGATCTATGGTTAGTCATAGGCGCTTTCTTTGTCTTCACAGGATGGGTGGTGTGGATAATTGAGCACAATGACAACGATGAGTTCAAGGGACCATTAGCTCATCAAATTGGGACAGTGATGTGGTATTCGTTCTCGACACTAGTTTTTGCACATAGTACGGACTCCCTTTATATGCTTTCAACATTCATGTCCTGCTTTAAAATTTCTTTTGATGAGTGGATTAACTGAGTACAAGAACGAGGTTTCTCTGGCAATGGACAGTTACTAGAATTAAACCGAAATTTCGGGTCAAAAAGAAGTAAAAAATAGTATCGATTGATAGTAGGCAGAAAGAATATGCCCAGTCGTTTCTCCTGGATATTATACGCTGCTGTACAATAACAGTGTGAGTTGATATAGTACGAAGCTAAATTGTCATTTCATGATTTGCAGGGGAAAAATTAATCAGCAACTTGTCCAAAGTTGTGGTGATTGTATGGCTGTTTGTAGTTCTAATACTAACTTCCAGTTACACTGCAAACCTGAGTTCAATGCTAACAGTTCATCAGCTTCAGTCCACGCCAAAGGGCGAATCTATTGGTTTCTCTTTCAACGATACAGTTTATCAGGCAGCACTAATCAATCTACCCTTCAAAAACCCCTCTTTTCACCCTTTGAAAACGGTTGAAGATTATGCGAATGCTCTGAGAGATGGAAGCCGAGAAGGTGGTGTCTCGGCAATTATTGATGAAATTCCTTATGTAAAGCTCTTTCTTTCCAAGTACTCTGCTCAATATACCATGGTTGAGCCCTCATACTACAGCACCAATGGATTTGGCTTTGTAAGCCTCTTTCTTTTTTTCCCGAACAGTTGAGTGAATATATTTGGATAAATGATTCTTAGGCCCTTTTATGCAGGCTTTTCCTAAGGGGTCACCTTTAGTCCCTGACATTTCTGCATCAATAGCAAAACTGAGAGAAGATGGAAAACTTCACTCGATAAGCCAAAATTGGTTTCAAAATCATTCCTTATTCACAAATCAAGATTCTGCAACAAAAGTTGCTAGACTTGACTTATACAGTTTTCGCGGTCTCTTTCTTGTCACAGGCATCACTTCGGCTGTAGCTGTGATAGGATCCTGTAAGTTTCAGAAGAAAGAATCAACAACTGCGCAACTACATGTGGTTGCTGATCAACCTGTTCAAGAGAAGTCCTCACCAGTTAGTGATATTCCATTAAGAAGAACCAGTTCCAAACACGTCAGAAGATATTCCTATTGAATCCGACGAAAGTGTGAGGTCCTCAGATGATGAAGATACCGACTAACATCATGGTGCTTGTGTGTGGCAACATACCAGGAACTTTGGAGCTTCTTAGGATTTTCTAGCTGTAGGGATGAAGAGTGAACTCTTGTTAGAACTTTGAAGATGGTTGAAATAAGAATTTGTTGCTCTTGTACCTTCTACTCTATTTTTAACTACTTCTGCCGAATTAACCACAAGAGATGCCGATCGATATTCTTATATATGTCTGCATTGACGAGAAAGAAGCAACTAAGGGCGAAGTAGCCTTACAGTTTTGTCATTTCAACAAAGGGTTGGTTTCTTTTTAGTAAACATTGAAGAGACCAATCTAACTAGAAAATTTTATGCATGCTATACCAAGCAAAAGCCTACAAGACCAATCCAGTGGGTAAAGCCCTTAACAATCTCAGAAATGGCAAATCAGTTGGAACAGTGTTAGGTGATGGGCAATCTTATTTACACTGCAACCTATCACATTTTGGTTACACACAAATTAGTCATGACAATACAATCCTCATTTCACTCAAACTAAGATAATTAGGATTAACATAATGCTGAAACTTCTGCAAGTACCTCCACAGTCGTGCTTGAGTTTTGATGGGTGGTCCTTGGTGGGCCTCAAGTTTCAGAGATTAGACAAGCGTAGACGGAGAGAGAGAATACCACATTCAGGACAAATTTGTGCTTTGTAGGTCCTTCTCCCTCCACTCAAACCAATTATTACTTAGTATACAATTATGGATTTGATTGAATAGAGATTTCGTAACATGAGAGCACATGAAAAACCTCTCGAAAATAATGGAAAGTGAGCTCTATAGGCAGAATCTAATTTCACTGAAGCCTTTAGCTTGGTGATTGCTTAGCTACTTGATGGGTCGATTTGATCTCTAATGGTGCTCTATAGTCTAGTCCAATGCTTAGATTTATCGGTTGGTACGAGAGGAGAGAAGCATTTGTTAACGATTTCTCGTTTTTGTGAAAGTTCCAACCTCAAATTATTATTATTAAGTTCTAATCAAGTCTATACATGCTTTAAAATAAATATTGACAGAACGCTACTAAATAACAGAATAAAATTTTAAGTTAGATAGTCGAAAATTGTGGATGGACTAGTGGAAGGTGAATAACCGAGTAGAAACCAGAAGACGTCAATATTTTTGGAAGGACCAGAGAATGGAAGGTGGATAGTCAGTTCAGCATGAAGAGTGAAAAGACGGGAGCCTGCTACTAACGAAGTTAAAGCAAGACTGAGTGCATCTACATTCATGGATATTTAAGAAAACCCATATCTTCTTCTCATTTGCCTTGGACTCAAATTAGAGTATAATTAATTATGAGATTTGATGGGATCACAATCAACTGTTCTAAAAGCTTAAGATGTTAAATGAATATGTGATTTAATATTTAATTATTCTAACAATCCCCCTCATGCTTAGTCTTATTTTTTTCCCTAGTACTAAGCGGGACATATTTAATTTGAGGACAAATAGGACCTGAAAAGATTTAAACTCGAGACCTCATGGCACTGATATGATATGAAATTTGGTGGGACCACATCCAACTGTTCTAAAAGCTTAAACTTTTAGATAAAAGCGTGATTTAATATTTAATTATTCTAACACTAATAGCCAATTTCAAGGTTTGAATCTACATAAAGCAGCCTAAAAAAATCATAGCAGTATTTCCTTTTTTGTGCAAGCACCTAGAGAGTCCGACATTGAACAGAAGTAGGAACGTCTATTTGGAAATCTCCTTTTCTTGCTTAGGATAAAGCAGCTTGGGCATGTATTTTGTAGGTCTGCTGAGCACGGTTGTGACCCATGGAAGACTTTCAATGACTAGGACGAAGCTTTGGAAGATTTTTTAAAGGAGAAAAGGATACTAAAAGTATCATAAATTTCGTACGACGCTCACTTTGGTACTAAAAATTTTCATTTGATCATTTAAATGTCATTTAAAAAAAAATGATCACTTAAGTGTCAATTCCGATTTAAGTTGCAGAAAATCTAACGTGGCAATATTTTATCAATTTCCCTAACCGACGTAGCTCACCGGCGTGCCTAATCAATACTAACAGCTCTAAACAATGTCGTCTACATCTTTGCCTCAAATATAGACCCTAATGATTTGTCCAAATTAGGGTTTTTGTCCACGTTTGACATCAACTTTTTTTATTTTCAATTTGCAAACAATCAAAGAAGAAGAAAAGGTGGAAGATGATGAGATGCTAATGAAGATGAGGAAGGTAACGAAATGAAGATGAAGAAGGCAATGAAGGCCATCGCCTCAATCGAAGCAGGATATGGTCTCGGTGACCTCTCATGTTGGGGCTCATCCCCAATTTCACCCCAACGATTCTCGACTCCACGGCCATGAAGTGCTCCATCTCCAAATCAGGAGGAACACGCGGCCAGCATCTCCAGATCAGCAGCCACGGCAACAGTGGTTCAACTAGAGCTTCTTTGCAAACTCAATTTCCCCCTCCAATGGAATTTAGCAGACAGGAAGGAATCGAAGTCGTATTTAGAATTTATTGAACTCCATGAAAAAAATCTAAACTACGGTGCACTGGGAAAGGCTCTCCTCTGCCATCATTGAACGAGAAAGTGAAGTAAATAGAACCAGAGTGAATGACCATACGTCATTTATGGAGAGTCCAGCCACCGTATAGCCCCACGTTAAACTTGTCTTTTAATTAAAACAAAGTCACATATGAATCATCATTTAATTAAACAAGCCACAAATGACTTTGGCCGGAATTTTTCGTCGGAAGCACTTAAATAATCATTTTTTCTCCAATTTGACACTTAAGTGATCCAGTGAAAAGTGTAATCAAGTCCTAAAACTTATCACCAAAAGTCACACATGAATAATCATTTAGGGATATGTTTATTAGAAGTCCTAAAACTTGTCATCAAAGTACATTTGAGTCCTAAAACTTGCAAAAAGTGTAATCAAGTAATAAAACTTGTCAAATTGGTTTAATAGAGTCCTAAAGTTAACATCGTCTAACTTACTAACGGAAAATGATGACGTGGCGCTGACATGGATTTTTTTAATTTTTTTTTATCCTATGTAGCGATGACGTGACTTTTTATATTATTTTAATATATTTTTAATTAAATATTAAAAATAAGCGAAATGTTTAAATTTAAAAATAAAAATAAAAAAGAGATGGAGGAGCTGAAGTCCGGCGGGGTCTGCTGCCGCCACCCCACCATTGTCAGGAGGGGCCTACGAGGCTGGGGGACGACCGGCGACCCTCGCTGACGGTAGGCGAGGGCCCATCCCTCGCCTAGATCTGGGCATGGGGTCACGACCCTTCCCCAAACAGGGCGTGAGGGCCTGCAGGCCCTTGCCTGATGTTGGCGAGGGTCACCAGCCCCTCCCGGCGATGATGGAACGGCGGCGGCGGTAGCAAGGGCTTGCAACCCTCCCCGCCTGACTTCTCCTCCTCCCCTTTTTAAATAATTTTTTAGATTATTTTTTACATTTAATTTAAATAAAATTAGTATTAAAAAATTAATTTTGGCCAAAATGACGTCCTTTTAGTTTTATGTTTCATAATTTAGCCACGTCATCGCCAAGTAGGAGAGAGAAAATATTAAAATAAGCCACGCAGGCATTTTTCATTAATAAATTAGACGATGTTAACTTTAAAACTCGATTGAATCAATTTAATAAGTTTTTGGATTTGATTGGACTTTTTGCAAGTTTGAGAACTCAATTACACTTTCATGACAAGTTTTAAAACTTTTAGTGAACTTATCCCAAATTTTTAAATAGACCACTTCACTACTCTCTTCGATTCTATGTTTGCCTCTATGGGGGTGTTTCTATGGTTCTCGAGAGGCACCATGCCCTCACAATCTTTTGTCATTAAACTGAAATGCGACAGATCTTAGCAATTCAACAAATCTCAGTCTGAATGGTTATGAGTTTTTGCTTTTTGATCCAATGATAAAAAGTGCCTCTTGGGGAACAATTATGGAAATGAGTTCAAATGGGAGAAAAATATATTGATAAATGAATTTCGATTTGTTAACTATTTACCTATCAAATCTTGCCCGATATTTTGATTTGACTTTGCCGTCCAAATAATCCTATAGTAAGATGTATCTAAAATAGTACTCACTAGTGAAACCAAATGCTTGCACAAACCAACGAAGTGATCCCATCTCCAACAATCCAAAGATTCAAATCTTTATAATATTCTGAACCATTCATGAACATCATAGTATTAAAACGTTTCTAGCCCTCACATAGATAAGAAGGTGCACAGCCGCTACAAAATAGGAGTTTTGATAAAATATTCACAAGGAAAAGGCAGAATAAATTGGATTGATAAGTAATCCCAGTCCTGGACTTCCTAACATAAGACCTGATCCTAAAAAAACTAAAAGAAAATCATTTATTGGTCCAGACAAATCCATTGTTAATAGACTCGCCCATTAAGACAGTGAATGGTGTGGAAACACATGCCGTCAACATCCCCCTAATTGTACAGAAGCTGAGAAGAAATTTGTGCTACTCTTTCGCATTTGGCTCCAGAAATTTCGAAGAATACTTGCTGTAGACGTAAGACTTGACTTTCAGAACGTACTAACACCACCGCCATCCCATCGAGACTACTCGCTGGAGATATTACGCTCCAAACTTTGAGGAAATATGCAGCTGACAATAAAGATGGAGAGATCGGCGCGCATCTTTATTTTGTTGGCTATGTTGCACGCCTTCAATTCCATCGATTGGTCGATGGCTCAAAACAGTCATCTTCGTCGTCGTCATATTCATGTTGGAGTGATTCTCGATATGGAGTCGCCAGTTGGGGAGATGGCCCAACAATGCATGACCATGGCCATCTCCGACTTGAATGCCTCGCCCTCGCTCTTTAACCATCTGATTCTGCATCCTAGAAATTCCATGGGACAGCCTCTCAAAGCTCTATCTTCAGGTGAGTTCCGGTTGATTCTTCGCCTCTGTCGTTCTTTGCATGCACATGCGCTCAAGCCACACCATGCTGGGAAAAAGAGATTATATTGTACACTCATTCTGCCACTGAATAAAACCAATCACAGTGCTGAAAATATGATGAGGTTCACAATCACATATTGGTATTTAAGAAGGTGACCAACGGTTTGTATGAGGTACAGAAGATTTTCAATTTGTGAGTAGGCGCTTAGCTAAACGTGAGCGGACTTGCCATCTAGTGCTAGTAATTATAATTGATCTGTATATTGCCATTGGAGCAGGTGTGGAGCTTGTGGAGAATGAACAAGTTGACGTACTGATAGGCCCACAAACATCTGAAGAAACCGAGCTTCTAGCGGAATTGGGAGATAGAGTGCCTATCATCTCCTTTTCTGCTAGCAGCCCTTTCTTGTCCAGAGATAAAAATCCAAACTTCATCCGAATGACAACTAATGATAACTCCCAGGTCGAAGCCATTGCTGCTCTTGTTCAAGAATTCGGGTCGAGTGAATTGGTTATAATACATGAGGACAGTTGCTATGGAAATGGAATCATACCCGATCTTCTTCTCGCATTAGAAGAAGGCAATGCTCGTGTAGCACGTCGAACTGTCGTTCCACCACAAGCCAGAGACATATATATCGAAGCCCAACTGGACAAACTGATGGCTCTGTCTGCCAATATATTCATTGTCCACATGTCTGCTTCCCTCGCATCTCGGTTTTTCTTGAAGGTTAAAGAGTTGGGAATGATGAGTATAGGCTATGGTTGGATTGTGACTGATGGGATAGTAAACGAGCTGCCTGTGATGGATCAGTCGGCTTTTGACTCGATGCAAGGAGTCATAGGAATTAGACCTTATATTCCACCCTCAAAGCAGCTTCGCAACTTCTCATTGAAGTGGAGGAACAGCTTTTTCACAAACCAGCATCATCAAATTCCTGAAGTAAATGTATATTGCTTATGGGCTTATGATTCTGTCTGGGCTTTAGCCACAGCAGCACATCATTCAGTGCCTACAACTTCTATAGAGAAGAATGATTCTGCAAATAAGCTTGCTCGTCTTGCTGCCATTCCCTCAAGACCAACAGGATCCGATCTAGTCCGCACAATTCTACGTGGCAAGTTCACTGGTTTAAGTGGGGAAATTCAACTTAAGAATGGACAGCTGCAACAACCACTAGCATATGAAATTGTGAATGTTGTTGGAAAATTCAAGAGAATCGGCTTTTGGACCCCATCTAATGGGATAACGCAAGGGCTAAATAGGTCTAGTGCTGCAGTTCAGTCACCCTCTGTGAGAGAATTGGGCTCTATTGGATGGCCTGGATCATCCTTGGCAATACCAAAAGTTCAACGGGTTATGCCAAAAGCTGCGAAGAGATTGAGAATTGGAGTTC